ATTTTCTTTTATGCATATTTGTGTGTTATCACCCCCGTTGAACTCAATTTGCATTACGGCTCCAACCACTGTTTGATCTCGTCTGTCTAAGATCAATTCACAACGTGGGTAGGCAGACTGGAGATCAATGCAGTTACCTTGGTAACCAGGCGTTGGAAGCGAGTTGGGAACGACGAGGCTGATATCAAATCTAACCAGATTCTCACCCGAATCACCAAAAGGTTAGAACGTCACATTGGGGTGCCGCGACCGATACCAAGCCAGTTGGTCGTCACAGGACGAGACAACACGACTGACGCGACAGGCGGACGTCATGTTTGGAGCAGCGACACCCGAACGGAGCAGCGAGGGCGAACAGCTGGCGCCGCGGCGAGGACGTCACAATCGGTGCTGTTTGGTGACGTCACAACTGCCGCCGTGGTAGATCAGGATAGAACGTCACAGTTGGCGCTGCGACCGGGGGACGACGTCACATTTTTCTTTGCTGATAATTGTTTTCTTTTTTGCAGTTTCTTTCCCCACTACATTCTAACAAATGCTGCTTCTATTTCTTTCCTACATTTTTTTATTTTCTTTTTTTCTTCTAATACTACTTTTTCTATTCACTTCTTCGGTACTCATTCAATATGTCCAAGATTCTTTTGTTTCATTCATTTCTTATTCCAATTTTTAGATCTTTGCTGAATATTTCAGTCTATTATTAACTTTCTGCTTCCATTATGGCTTCCAATGTACACTTTCTAGTTTCTTCTTCTCAATCTATTACTATTATATGGTAACTATATACAGAGAACTACTACTGATTGTAACTATTATGGTCAGCTTTTCTGTTATGTGTTTAGCCAGTTCTCCAGAGGCTTTAGTAATCGACGCAGGCGCCGCCCAAGGGTTACTAGTCATTTTTTACTTTGCATAAATGATCGTCCTAAGAATACACTCAGATCATTTGTGAATATCTATGGCAATGATACGATCATATATTTTGGTGTAACTCAAAAACTCGTAATGATTTGAAATTGGCAGCGAATCTCCCATCCTGTTAAATAATAGTTTCAGACTATTATATTTTAGTGACAGTGTATTTGGCTTAGGCATTCTGAGGCTGGCCTTAAGGTCAGATGTTACACAAAATAGAGATGTCGATTTTGATTGGCTGATTCGAACGTGGGGATGTTAGAGATAGAAAATGATTTCAATGAGTTAAGTTGATGCGTCAAATATGATCGAAGCACAATGAAAAAAAATGTAGGGAGAACGCCCTGCATGCACGAAATTATAGTGGGTATTTTAGAGTAAATATTTGAAATAAAATTCATAAATGAAGCTTTTTTTTGATGGTTGGGTAAGGAATTTTAAATTTAATGTAGTTGAAATAAGATTTATAAATGAACTTTTTTGATGGTTAGTTAAGGAATGTTAAATAATAGTTTTAGATTATTATTTTTAGTGGCAGTGTATTTTGGCTCAGAACTTCTGAGGTTGAAATTAAGGTCAGATGTTAGACAAAATAGGGAAGTCGATTTTGATTGGCTGAGGCGAACGTTGGAATGTTAGGGAGATAGAAAGTGATTTCAACGAGTTAAATTTTATGCGGCGAAGAATGAAGACGTGTTAATTTCGTGTGTGGAAACTACTCCACAGTGGGGTGGAATAGCAACCCCACTGGGTAATTAAAAAATGTACACGTTGATGGGTTTAATAAAATAGATAAATTTAAAATCACTTTCTGTTGAAGTTCTCATTTCATCTCCGAAAAAACAAACGACTAGCGATATCTCGACCAGAAGATGACTGTCAAGAGAGATGAATGCAGCTATTGTTTGGGAACAGACTCCGTCAACCAAGACCTCCCCAGAACGAGGGGATTATACAACAATCCGAACTTGCTCTTACATCTCACTGGGGAAAAAGTGGATGGATACATTCAATGTATCGTAAACCAAAGTAATTACATTACATCATAATCAATCGGAACACAAAGTACTTCTAGTTACAACTGGTTCATTGGTGCGACACCTTTCCTTGAGAATCTATTGGGCCTTAAATCACCCCTGACCTCAAGTGGAACTCTTATGTGGTTTTTATCGCTTCATATCTAGGAAAAATTGTCGTTACTCTGTACCGCTCTAGTAAGTAACGTGCTATCCAATACGTTCCAGTCAGTTATGTGCCATGCGTGATACACGCTTAGGCGATCATGTATCTTTCGATACATGGCTGAGGTGGCAGTTTTTTTTTCCCACAGAATGCTGTCATTTCTGCATTAGACCAGTTGGCATCCAAGGCTATAGAACCCGGTTGGTCCTACTATTTACACATGATTTTGGGGAGAAAAACGATGGTGTTCAAAAGCTTCTCAGAGGGTTGTAGGTGACACCTTATTTTCCACTATGCAATCTGTCACTCATAGAAGGGAAGTAACGAGTCTCTCATTTCACTATCGCTACTTATGTCGAAAGTGCTCGGACGAATTGAATTCCTTGGTTGCGCTAAGCCAAATCTTCATGGCTAGGACTCGCTATTCCGTACACATTGTAGCAAATGACATACATTTCGTCCGTATAAGCGAGAAATAAGTGCCACTCGAATAACTTCTACTTGCGAACCACTTCTCTATGTAAAGTACTCCCAAGAGGATGTTTCCTAGATTCCTACAATTCTAATCTGCTAAAGTCTAGTGTTAACAGTTATCTTCTCCTTCTATGTATATAAGTTCCCTCTTACTGTAGACTTTCCTCTCGAGTGGCCACTGGGTCGTGTAACAAAATTCAAAGAAGAATCTGCAATGTTGTTGATCCATCTTAGTTTTAGTCTCTTCCCCACTACCTAACGTAGCTTAGCTATGCATTTTCTGTCAATATCTAAATGATAAATGCGCTGATGAACTTTCCTCTTTGATGCCTAGCCTTTATTAATTTAATCGCAGTACTAGCTTGGCCGGTAAGTTTTATCATCTTACTGCTGAAATTGCTATATGCACCCGTATGTTCTATGCTAACAGTCTCTTCTTTCACCCTTTCTGCCCATGGAACACGTTTCCGGCTTTTTCTTTTCCAAACAACTTTGATCTTTGTTATGGTCCGGTTCCTTGTACCACGGTGATAGTCCAAGGTAGAACCAATAAAGAAGAACTCGAACATGGATATGGAATAATACAGATATATTACAAACAGGAATATATACAGAGAAGTAGAAAAGGTTAGTACGAACAATCAGGTTTAGTAGTAATTGTCTGAACGCGACTCTGTTTCAGACTGCCTCTGACTCGACTGACTGACTCGCTCGCTCTGACTGACTGACGGACTTCTGACGGACCTCACTCCAGACTTCAGACTGAACATTATTTAGTCACCCCGCTCCCACGAGGACATCATGGTGCACAGGGCCGGTTTAACGTGAGATCTCTGAGCCCCTCGGATCGGCCAAAAATATGCCCTTTGAACCCGTATAAACGGGCCCAAGGTCGGTCCACCTCCCCGAAAGAGACTCCGCCCTTCGGCGTAGCCTCGTTTGGGTTCCTCCCCGCCCGAAGTAAGAGAGTTCAACCGATCAGCCGGTCAGCCGGTCGTCCGACTTCAGACTGAACTCTCTGCTTCCTCTTGAGGCGCAGTATTTATTACGTATGGAATAGTCCATTATGTTATTATGGGTAAGGTCCCATAACAATCTTCAAAAATTTAAATGCAATACGAATCATTATCTTACGTCTTCGTAATACCTATTTTTATTTTTTCGCTCCTTAATTCTTTCACACTTAGTAACCGCTTGCATCTTAGTGGCTTTATTGCCTAGCTTGAAGAATTGAAAAAATAGTATGCATGATTTAGGAATAAACATCGAAGATAAGTAATTCGAGACATTTCTCCCCGAAGAAATTCCGTTTAAACGGCGACAGAAAATGTCGTCTCTGGCGTAGGCGATGTTAGTAATTACAGAATATCTAATTATGGTCAAATCCTCTTTAATTATTGATCATTGTGACCAACTACAACGTCCATTAGAAGTGCGCTTACCCTTCGGGCAATTAGGCAAACACATAAACGATTAATATTCGGAGTCAATAATCTTGACCGGAGGAGAATCGGTTGATTTCTGTACAGCAGCGTATAAAGCTATTGGAAGGTTAATTGAAAATTTGTGAAAGGTAAATGGCACTTCTGAAAGAGATTGGTGCTATAAAATAGTTTTATTCTTTTACAGATCTTTCAGTTCTCTTATTTGTACATTCGATATATGTTGTATGGCTCCTTGGTGGTGGGTGTCTCTTGGTCAATGCGCCAATTAATACAGAGTCGTATCTTGCCTCACCTCTCTTTCTTCTCTCGGCCGGTGATCCCTAGTTGTTTTGGTACGGGGATAATAACCCCCCTACCCCCTCCAACCCCAAAAAACAAAAGGAATTTTAAACTTAGCTATTTTGTTAACGCGGACTTATCCAGTGGGGTTGTTTTCTCATTCCACTGAGAAGCTGCTTTCCAGGCACAAATGAAACACGTCTATATTGTATGACGGTTCAGACTCAACTCTCCGAAAAACCTTTCTCTGTCTTCCATTCCCATGCTAGTTCAGCCAATCAAAACCGACTTCCTTTATTTTGTCTTGTATCTGACCACTGAGGTCAAATTGAGGAAGTCAGTGCAGAAATACACTTCGCTAAAAATAACAGCCTGCTAAGCTATTATTTTACATAAACATACATAAATACAGAGCATCATGCAAACCTCATGCAAATAAGGCATCACTCATGCAATTAAGGAAACACTCAATCAAATAAGGCAACAATCATACAAATAAGGTAACAATCATGCAAATAAGGCAACACTCATGCAAATAAGGCAGCACTCATGAAAATGACACAATAACGCTACATGGTAAATTCTTGTCAATAACGCAACACAAATCTCAAAAAAGAAATAAAACAATATACAACGTTCATGGCAATAAAGCTATTCACAAAAATAATGCAATAATGCACTACATATGACTCATGTCAACAAAGCTTACGGCAATATCAGGTTGACACACCGGTTCCCGTATGACCACCGGAGTTAATCAAGGTTGAGCCTGATCGGTACCTAGATGGATGACAACTTGGTAATACCAGGTTCTGTAAGCATATCCAGTACTGGTTGTGTAATCTGTAAAGGCTAAGCATTTGAAATCAGAGAGCCAAGTTCCATTTTCAACACGGGTTCGTTACACTCATTTATTAGCAAAAAGACTTGGAAAAGACATTAACAATCCTTCCTTCCCTCGGCTATGGGTTAATTAGCAGGAGTTGGATCAGTAAAAAAACATTATTATCTCAAAAAATTACTACAATCCCCAAATATTTTCTAAATTTAAATAACCTTCAACAGATTGATAAGCCGTACAAAAACCAAATAAATCATTTGAATAATGCAACACTCATACAAGAATAGAAAAATATGTCAAAAGACCTAAATATGTAAATACTTGTTACAAAATAATATACTTTCGTTTAAATTGATAAAGTCAATCAGGTTACCAAGCGCGTCGGCTAAGATAAGTTTTTCTTTTGTTTTTATTTATATTTTCTTTTTACAGATATATTTTTAGCTATATCTGATTTTTATATACACAGACACAAACACACACACACACATATATACATACAAACATACATATATATGCGTATGGGGAGGGGTCTATTTATTTGAACATGTTTCATCAAATAACATAGGCTTTCATAAATTTTCATTTCTATTTTCGAACAGCTCTCTGAAACTCGCAGTTGAACTCCAGTTGTATATTTTGACGATCATCATAGGTTCTGTTCTGACACAGAAATGGACAGAGTCACATTTTACAAGAATATCGTAAAAAAAGTTCATCTTGAACACCAGACATGAATAAATCTCGCCACTCTTCTATTTACTTGTAAAAGAAAGGAAGAACCAATATAATTTGTTTCCTGACCAAAGCCAATTATTTTGTTTCTTTCAGGCGTGACTTAAAGTATTTCAAGGCCGAGGTCAGTAAAACATTTTCAATCTTAGAATTTCTTGTTCTGAAATATTTAATAAATATTTTTAAAAGATAATTTGCCACTTAAGAATCATGTACCAACGTCTGAATTCATAATTAAATAAATTACTCAATTTAAATTACTCAGACATTTTTCTGTAAACTTTATAATATATAAATGACATTTTCATCAATGTTTTTATAACGAAATAAGATACAAATAAAATGGTTAGAGAAGTAGAGAATACTGAAGGGATAAGTGATAATGGGAAGAAATAGTCTAATCATTTCTTTGAAATAATATTATTCCCTGTGTTTCAGAATGTAATGGGTTGAATCTGAAATAAATAATTTCCGTTTGTAATTATCAAATTTATTCTTCCAAAGGATAAGCAAAATTATATTTTAAACAATCATATCGTTGCCGTCGTCTAAAGTAACGTAGGTGAGACAACCATGGACGCATGGTCCGAAATCAGAGAGGTCCACAGCACCATGTCGTGTGCCAGGCTTGTCGTTGCTCGAACCAATGTGCTAAACGCGCGGAGTCCATTATTTTCTGTCGCGTTTCGAAGTAACGGTGACAGTTTCTTTTTCAAGACGTCATGCTAAGTGGATTTGTTTTTTAAGTTAGCTTCTCCTAGCCTTTACTTAAAGAGACAGGATCTTAAGAAAAACAGGCATGTTTTAATTCAGACTTTTCTTCTCCTAGACTGTTTACCACCCAAGACTATAGGACGCAATCTGTCCTGTATTTTACCCATAGGTGGGAGAAGATATATATTTCCCATTATTTGAAATGTCTGGTTGCCATTTATCAGAAAGATTTTTTAAAACTTTCGAGTAAAATTTCGAATGTTTTGAGGTGAAAAGGTTTTCGACAAGCTCTGGTTTTCATTGGCGAAAGACATCAAAGCGCTTTCCAACGATCAAATAAGGAAATAACCGGTTTTGCGCAAGATTAACTGAATATGGTGAATGGGGTAGACAGACCAACCGAGATCCCAATTCTTTTCCTTGCCATATTCGAATTTGCATTGTCATTGAGGAGAACAGCATTGTTTTCTAAGGATGAGCACAGGGCCTTTTTCGATTCAGCGTTTATGGACAAGTTGCATATAAATGTGTGTTTGGTTTTTAACTGTGTTTTAAGAACTTGATATGAAGACGTTTTAAGAAGACGATATTACGTTTCTTCACTTCTGCTGTGCGTTTGTGGAGATTTCTCCCTGAAAATGCTCTAACTTGATGGAACCTGCACTCGGATACTGAGAGCTATACTTAACATCTCCTAGAAACAACATCCAACTAAATCACAGCTCTATGGACACATCCTTAATGTTTCTATAATCTTACGCAGACACTGAATGCTCTTTGCACGACACTGCTGGCGAGCAAAACAAGAAGTACTGTTCTTGACACCTAGTCATAGTGCAAGATGAGGTGGTCATGGAGCAAGATGAGGTGGTTGCCCATCAACAACAAATATTGACCAGCTGTGTTATGAAAACAAAATGTCTCCCGAATGACCTTCCGACCTTAATGCAGGTCCGTGGTGTTTGGCGTGATAGACTCACGAAAGTTCGAGCTAACGTGTAGAAAGCTGAATTATACACTAATATTTATTATCATTCACACTAGGATTTTATAAAGTCCGTTTGAAAGTTTGATCGTGGAGTAGATTTCCAAGATACCGTGGGGAGGCCGACTATTTTTATTTTCATACTTTTACTATTTATCAAGATCTCAGACTAATATATGCATTTTTAAAAGGAATATTTCTTTTTTAATTAAACATTCTTGTTTTTGGTTGGACTGTCGTAGTAATCAGCATTGTTATTGATATTAGACTGGTCGGGAGTTTCCTTCTGTGATTGATGTTAGACATTTAGTTTCAATTACATAAAGAATGATCGCTTTTGATTTTATTATGACAGTTCTAATAAGCATTCATTAAAAATTTTAAAGGAAAAACAGTTTTCTTTTATTTATTGATTCTAGTATTTTAACCTTGTGCCTGAGACCAGCACGTGATTGGTTTTTAGATGCCAGTTCTCGCGTGACCACTGACGAAAGAGGCGCGAGATCGAAAACGGACAACGAAAAATACTTGGAAAAAATAATTCTGGTTCATTCACATACTTCAGCATTGAGACAGGACGGCTGTTAATAGAATTTAGAAAATGGGCAAAGCGACCTTCTTTCTGATGGTGCAAGAAATCTTCCCTTCTACCAGCTTAACTCATAAATCACAGCTTCCAAACCACACTCGTCCCAGACTCATATATTTTGGTCGAGGCACATTTAGCTGTCCTTTCAATATAATCATTCAATATAAAATTAACCAAGACATGTTTCCCTATCATGTGTTATGTATTGCAGAAATATTAACACTCTTTAATATTCTAAGTATGTATCACTTCCTTAACAATTTCTCGTTTCTAACACATACGGTTCGTCGTATATTCAGTATTCTCTACCATATATATATATATATATATATATATATATATATATATATATATATATATATTAAAATGAACTAATTGATCTGTCTATATTTCTGAGATTAACTATTGCAACTATTTGCACTATTTACATCGTTCGGATACATGACCCAATGGATAAAAATTTTGGATAAGTAATCCAAACAGTTGTGAGTTCAATACCTGACCACAGCAGAGGGAAACATTTTGTAGGGTTGAGTTACTAAATGTACTTAACTGATACTGAGATATCCCAAAAAGGCATGGCAAGTGGAATTAGAACAATCCACCACCGTGGACTAAATAAAGGGCTCGGTTCGAAATTCTAACGTATAGCACCTGAAGAAGGTTTGGTTTGGTTTATTTCGTTTAACGGCATATCAACCTCAATGGGTTATTTAATGCCGACAACATTTTTAGGATAGATTCGTATGAATAGAATATATATTCTTTCGTTTAGATTGGTTTGGTTTATTTTGTTTAACGGCATATCAACCTCAATGGGTTATTTAATGCCGACATTTTTAGGATAGATTCGTATGAATAGAATATGTATTCTTTGGTTTAGATTAGTTTGGTTTATTTTGTTTTACGGCATATCAACCTCAATGGGTTATTTAATGCTGACAAAAAAATTTTATTGCTGGTAATATTTTGTTTTGTCAAAAATCTGTTTCTTCTAATATATTTTCCTCAAAATTGTATTGCTGGTAATTAATTAGTTTTCAAAAAAAGTATTACTGATAAGAGTTAACTATTTGCCCATAGCCGGGACCCTAACAGTTGCTACCACCCCGGGTCAGGTTGGACCTGGGAACACCAGTAATTAAGATGTGGTTCCACTCTCCTCAAAACCTCCTGATCAGAGCCCTTGCTGCTGGACGTAGTTTAACGACTTACCTAGGACGCATCTGAAGAAGGCTGCAGCGTACAACACACACACGCGCACACACACAGACACACACACAGACACAGACACACACACACACACACACACACATATATATATATATATATATATATATATATATATATGTAGTAGTAGTAACCCAAATGTCACCAGTCCAAGAAGAAAAACATTTAATATAACTTTAAAAAATCAGGAGGTGAGTGGAATTCGCTACATTGATTTCAAACTTACGGTGTAATATATATATATATATATATATATATATATATATATATATATATATATATATATATATATATACATAAAATGTTAATGGTCAGAATTGAATCACACCAGGACACCTTGTTTTGATATTTTCGTCCTTCGTTCCTCATATTTAAACCCAAAAACGGATAGAAGAGAAATGGTATTCTTCTAAAAAATACAACATTTTCGGAATGAATATAATTGGGTGAAACCAGGAAATCATGGAAGAATACAGGCTCAATATTTTGGTTGCGAATAAAAACAAAAAAAAAACAAACTAATTCCCAGTCGAATGAAATAAATAAAATACAAGCTCAGATGAACTTAGAAAAATAGCTAAGTATTTATACACAGCAATATATTGATAGTTTTCTATGAATTTGGGTTTGCTTATGACTAATGTCTGTTTGAAAACATTTAATCATAAAAAAAGAGTGTTCTAAACAGCTTTTTCTTTTTAAACTGTTTTTTGGTTTGTAAGTG